TTATTACAGTTCATTGCCCAGTCAGCCAGATGTTCAGGCTGGATTTGGCATTTTTATCCACCTATCCAGTCCTTCCCAAGGACCTGGAATAAGCAGATGTGGATGTTTGATGGCGGTTAAAGGTATCGCAGGATGGAAGCTGTTCGAAGTAAAGCTGCCTTTTGCAATTGACCGACGGTGGTTTTGTCAATGCCGGAGGCGTTCAGGAGCGCTTCAGTTGTTTTGGGATAGCACCCAAGGCATCTGTGACTACTGGGATTGTTGTTAATATTATTAGCTAAAGTAGCATTTATTAATTTCGTTTCGTATAATAAATGTTTGAGGGTGGGGCCGAGGGACAATAGGAAATTTCACGAAGGGGTTGATTTACTGAAGAGTTTAAAAGGAACAGAGTGTTTACACAAACATCAAAGCAGCTTCAGCTGAGATTCCCAAACCCAGGACTTTCAGTAACGCAGGTACTCCTCGACTTACAACAGTTCATTTAGTGACCGTTCAAAGTTACAACGGCACTGGGGGGGAAAGGGATTTGTGACTTTTTCACACGACCTTTGCAGCATCCCCAGGGTTACATGATCAACATTCAGACACTCGGCAACTGACTCGTATTTACGACAGTTGCAGCGTCCCCCCGGGGTCACGTGATCCTCTTTTGCCACCTTCTGACCGGCAAAGTCCATGAGGGAACCAGATTCACTTAACAACTGTGTTACTGACTTAACGACTGCAGTGATCCATTTAACAATCGTGACAAGAAAGGTGGTAAAAATGGCGCAAAGCTCACTTAACAACTGTTTGGCTTAGCAGTGTTGAGTTTGGGCTCATTTGCGATCGTGACTCAAGGACTTACCTGCAAAAAAGATGTTGAGACTCTAGAAAGAGTGCAGAGAAGAGTAACAAAGATGATCAGGGGACTGGAGGCTAAAAGATATAAGGAACGGCTGCTGGAATTGGGGATGTCTAGTTTAATGAAGAGAAGGATGAGGGGGGGACATGATAGCAATGTTCCAGTATCTCAGGGGCTGCCACAAAGAAGAAGGAGTCAAGCTATTCTCCAAAGAGCCTGAAGGCAGGACAAGAAGCAACGGGTGGAAACTAATCAAGGAGAGAAGCAACCTGGAACTAAGGAGAAATTTCCTGACAGTTAGATCAATTATTCAGTGGAACAACCTGCCTCCAGAAGCGGTGAATGCTCCAACACTGGAAGTCTTTAAGAAGAGACTGGACAGCCATTTGTCCGAAATGGTATAGGGTTTCCTGCCTGAGCAGGGGGATGGACTAGATGACCTCCAAGGTCCCTTCCAACTTTATTATTATTATTATTATTATTATTATTATTATGGATCATTGCACAGTCAGCCCGATGTTCAGACTGGATTTGGCATTTTGTCTACCTATCGAGTCCTTCCCAAGGACCTGGGATAGGCAGATGTGGATGTTTGATATTATTACAGATATTGTTGCAGGATGGAAGTAGTTCCTAGTAAGGCCGCCTTTTGCAATTGACTAATGGCAAATATTATTATTATTATTATTATTATTATTATTATTATTATTATTATTATTATTATTATTATTATTATTATTATTATTATTATTTGGATAGAATAATCTGGATGGCTATAGATTAGCAGCAGAAGAGTAAATGTATTTCTTGGCTGCTAGTTTTAAAGCTTCGGCAGTCCAGATACAATAACCCCACTTTACTCAAAAGAACTATTTGTCCAGCACAACAAAAATGAGCTGCTTTCTCCAGTTTTGAGATTCTCGGTTGACAGAGAACACTAAAAGGAAATAAATCTCTGGTAATTGTTACTATAAATGTCCATATAAACCCACAAACCCACAAACCTGCTCTCGGGTTCCACAATTTTCTCAAGTGTAAAGACAATGAAACCTTGATAATTTTGGCTCGGCTCCATCCCTTCATGATGAAAGGACGGGTTCAAATTAAGTGGACCGTCCATCTTTTTTCGAAAGCAGCAACGTTGTTTTTTCTCACCATTATAACTGGAGGCACACAAAAAGGGCCTTGATCGTTCTAATCTCCGAAACCGTTGACTCAGAGATAGCCAGATAGCTTCCTTATATTTTAAGCTCTTTTGTCAGAATTGTGGTGATTGTGGTGATGGGGACAGAGAATTTTATTTTTCCTTGCCAAAGAAGTGTGGAAATGGAGATGGAGATGAAGGAGGAGGAGGAGGAGGAGGAGGAAGAGGTTTCAATATTATATTCCTGTTTTGTTTGATCTTCAAAGGTGGCAGTTCTTCATTAGGGCTTCACGCAACTGTGGTCTTCAGGATACTAAGTTATGTTTTAAAGCACAGTCTGTTATTTATTTTCAAGCCTTCAAGTGATTAAAAAGATGAAGGACTCAAACGGCTACCAGAAGGAACACTTGGCCAGAGAAATGGCAGAACCTGTCAATAACCAGTATGTGATCACCGGACCAGTTTACTCAGAGCTATCATTTGATGAAGAGCACCAGAAGGTCTATAGACACCATAAAACCTTGGTGGACCATCTCAGATTATGCTTTAGGTAAGAGGTTTGCTTTTTTTTTTTTAAACGTCATACTACAAACAATTAAGGGTTGATCATTGTCAGGTTTTCAAATCAGGTTGGTGAGATTAGGTGAGGGTGACCTGCGTGAAGATTTTCATCGACCTGGTCCATCCATTGCCATAAGCCCTGGTTTCAATTTGGCTTACTGACCAAAACAGAATGGACTGAATGGGCATAAAAAGCACAAAAAATAAACTTACAGGCTGCAATGTCTAGAATTCACACCGCACGTTACCTGTCCAAGGAAACAGCCTTCACATTTAGAGCAGACCGTGAACCGAGTGGGTGGCTAGTTAATACAATATTGTGGCTGATTAATTTGCAGCCAAATATCTTGTACAAACCCAGGTGGTGTTGAAAGTTTATCGTTCTATAAAATCCAGCAAGTGGATTAACCGATTAATATACAGATATCAGTTAATCATGGAAGATCATATTGTAATAGTCAGCATTGGGGCGCTGAAAAGAAAGAGAGAATCTCAAAGGCTTTTTGTTCTGTTGATTTTCATCATAATAGCAAAAATATAACTTCTCACCTAGTATCCTGCTATTATAATAATGATGATGATGATGATGATGATGATGATGATGATGATGATGATGATGATGATGATGTTGAAAGGGACTTTGGAGGTCATCTAGTCCAACCCCCTGCTCAGGCAGGAAACCCTATACCATTTCAGACAAATGGCTGTCCAGTCTCTTCTTAAAAACCTCCGGTGTTGGAGCATTCACAGCTTCTGGAGGCAGGTTGTTCCACTGGTTAATTGTTCTGTCAGGAAGTTTCTCCTTCGTTGTTCTGTCTAGGTTGTTTCTCCCCTTGATTAGTTTCCATCCATTGCTTCTTGTCCTGCCTTCAGGCGCTTTGGAGAATAGCTTGACTCCCTCTTCTTTGGGGCAGCCCCTCAAATATTGGAAGACTGCTATCATGTCCCCCCTCGTCCTTCTCTTTGTTAGACCATTCATACCTACTTCCTGCAATCATTCATCGTATGATTTAACCTCCTGACATCTAATCAGTCCCCTAAATACGGATGCAGTTATTTCAGCTGGCACGGCCCATATTAATAGTAGAATATTTAGAATAGAATAGAGCTGGAAGGGACCATGGAGGTCTTCTAGTCCAGCCCCCTGCTCAAGCGGGAGAACCTATACCATTTCAGACAATATCTGAAGGATTATAGGATTTTCTCTTTTGACACAACATTGTTTCCACGTAAAATGTCCGTATTTGAACCGTTGCTTAGTGCTCTGTTGTCTTTTCAGGTGTACCCCACAAAGGGCCAAAAGTGCCGCTCTTCATTTGTTTCCTGTGGCTTCCTGGTTACCTGCATATCAGATCAAGAAATGGCTTCTTAGCGACATCGTTTCCGGAATTAGCACGGGGCTGGTCGCCATCCTACAAGGTGGCTGTTTTGCGTTTTCTGGTTAATAAATGCATCCTTTTCTCTCTTTTTTTCTGCATGAGGTGCTGTCCTCACCACTTCAATGTACAACCTCCATTGACCCCCAAATTTCTCTCGCTAAGCAAGAGACAGTGAGTTTTTAAGTGAGTCTTGCCCCCATTTTACGACCCTTCTTGTCACAGCTGTTAAGTGAATGACTCCAGCTGATAAGTTAGTAACCCCGTTGTTAAGTGAATCTGGCTTCCCCCATTGACTTTGCTTGTCCCAAGGTCCCAAAAGGGGATCACGTGACCCCGCCAGGACGCTGCGACCGTCATAAATATGAGTCAGTTGCCAAGCATCCATATTTTGATCACGTAACCGTCGGGATGCTGCAACGGTCGTAAGTGTGAAAAATGACCATGTCACTTTTTTGCGTTGTAACTTCGAACGCTTATAAGGGGAGGACTATGTGTAGTTTTTCACTCAATATTATTTTTTTTTCTTTTCCTGAAGGCCTAGCATTTGCTTTATTGGCAAATGTTCCTCCGAGTTATGGACTCTACGCAGCCTTTTTCCCCGTGGTTATATATTTCTTCTTTGGCACGTCCAGACATATATCNACAAAAAAGTCTGGATAGTGGACGTGGACATGCCTGGAGACAGCAGAATAGATGAGAAAGAACTGGCTATTCTATGGACCAGGTCTCTCCACACCTTCCACTGCTTCTCTTAGTTATTCTATGTTCTGGCTGGCATCAGCTTGGATGGTGTCCACAATTACACACCGTTTCCAAGAAAACTGCATAAATGTGTCCATGAATTCTTTCCCCTCTCTAACTTTAGCCACAAAACCTCTTGATCTCCCTGCTGTGTGGTTACTTGGCCAAAATAAGTATCGTTCCTCTCCTACCTCGATCTTCTCCAGGTTGGTGGTCACCAATGTACCCATCTGCCTTCCGGCTCTTCTTCACCGCAGGCCTCCCCTGAACCTCTGCAAACCAATCTTGCAGATTGTCTCAGGGTGTTAAGCAATCCCGAAGGGAACTTCAGGGAACCATCCTTATCATCCTTATTGATCACTGGCTCAATGGTCAAGGCCATCATGAAATCTTCGTGCCCTGTAAAAGTTAATGGAAGTTAACTATTAAAGCTGTATATATTGTGTTTTCCGCAGCTATATAAAGGGAGGCGTTTAAATGGACAGAGACATATCTTGAACAGCCTCTGACTTTCTCTATTGGGGACAAAAATCCTAGCTAGGTGCATCTTCTCTTCCACAGAGCTCGCTGAAGACGCTTCTAGGGTAAGAAAGAGATCTGTTTATACATATCATTATAAGTTCTTTATAGTTATCCAGTTATGCAGCATATATATATATAAAGGAACTAGTCCTACAACAATACTATTGTTATTATCTATCTTTAGAATTCCCTTTCTATCAGGAACTCAAGGAAGTCTACACAATCTTCTCCCATCTCCTTTTTTTTTTTTTACTGGATAACCATAACCTTAGGAGTTTTATTCTTCATATTTTTAAAAAATATTTTTCATAAGTATTTTGGAGCATCGGTGGGACCGACATTGTTGATTGCTGTAGATACGGTCTGCGTGACGGCCAGCCATTTTAAAGAATCAAGAGTCAAGGGAAATGGATATCCTGAATCTTGACATTTAACGTGGGGCACCATCTAGGAGGACTTCTGCTCTGTGGACCCAATGGATTTGGAAGTTCTGATGGACATTGTCAATGGGTCTTTCAACCTGGGTCTGTGTTATGCTGAAGCTGAGCTGGAACAAATTACTGAAGACCCGTGGTCTAACTGCGTTGGTTCCTTGAGAATGGTAGACTCATACAGCTGGAAGGATCCTTGAAGGTCTTCAAGTTGAATCTCCTGCCCAAGGCAGAAGTCCTTATACCATCCCAGACAAATGGTTGTCCAATCTTTTCTTGAAAACCTCCAGTGATGGAGCACCCATAGCTCCAGGAGTCAAACTATTCCATTGTTCTCGCTGTCAGGAAATTTCTCCTTAGGTTCCAGTTTGAATCTCTTTTCAAAACATGCTTTCACCCATTTCTTTTTGTGCTGTCCTCTGGTACTTTGGAGAATACGTTGACCCCCTCTTCTCTGTGACCGGCCCTCAAATATTGGAAGTGATCATGTCATCCCTAAACCTCCAATAGACTAGACTAGACTAGACTAGACTAGACTAGACTAGACTAGAATAGAATAGAATAGAATAGAATAGAATAGAATAGAATAGAATAGAATAGAATAGAATAGATATTGGAATATAGAATAGAATAGAATAGAATAGAATAGAATAGAATAGAATAGAATAGAATAGAATAGATATTGGAATATAGAATAGAATAGAATAGAATAGAATAGAATAGAATAGAATAGATATTGGAATATAGAATAGAATAGAATAGAATAGAATAGAATAGAATAGAATAGAATAGAATAGAATAGATATTGGAATATAGAATAGAATAGAATAGAATAGAATAGAATAGAATAGAATAGAATAGAATAGATATTGGAATATAGAATAGAATAGAATAGAATAGAATAGAATAGAATAGAATAGAATAGAATAGAATAGAA